GTGGTAGGACTCAAACTGCTGGACCTTCTCTAGCATCTATTAAGGCACTGAGCCCCTATGGCTCTCTTTTAATGTGCAGGAACAATAAAATATTTGAATTATCCTGCTTTGAGTGACTTTTGCATATAACTTAGCTCTGTACACTTCTATATTTCATATAAGTGGCAATATGAAAGAAAATCTCTCTCCCTAACCTATGGTAGCCCTCAACTTACAATCATAATGGAATCTAGACTTTCCATTGTAAATCATTACTGACCTAATTTTATGACTTTTTTTCAAGCAATCATAAAGCAAATACATTGGTTGTTAAGTGAACACAGTGGTCATTAAGCAAATTCATTCTCTCCTATGGGTGTTTTTTGCCAGAAATCAACAAAAAACATTGTAATTTGCAGTCATGTGACTAGGGAACACTGCAACTAGCTATAAAGCTAAAGCCACCATCAGAACAATGGAATAGGATCATGATTAACTTTTTGGAGAGTCCATTATAACTTAAACCAGTCATTAAATGAGGATTACCTTTGCATTTGTCCACGTAGAAAAGATATTCTGAAGAAAATATTCTGATTGGTATTCCTCAGTAAAAATGAAAATAAAGCCAGTCTTACCCTTTGAATTGTTTATGCTGATTTTTTCTGTTTTTTTGCTTCCAACTGTTTAGTAATTATTAATCCATTAGAGGACTTTTATCCATTATGTTATTATATTTTGATAAAGAATAAGATGGGCAGTAGCAAGGGAAGGAGGGAAGGAACCGGTATTTAATGGCCAAGATTTAGGATAAAAAAAGGCTTTAATCGATATGATTTTTTATTTCATCTCTGTTATGATCAAGCATTAAATACAGAGCATGGTCACAAACAATGAACCCATAAGTGATAGGAGAGAAGAATATTTAAGATGCAAAGCACAATGAGGGTATCAGAGATATGAAATTTCCAGTGCATTTGTGAAACCGGATTAGAAATGAAAGCAGAACGACTTACCTAAGCAAATAAGATGCATATCACTTGGTGGCTCTTTATAAAGTCTTATCTGATTTATTTTTTCTATTAGTAGGAGCCCAGACAACTACTGGTTCAAATGCCATCATACTGTATATCTTTTAATGGATCATTTATCTCTTCTACCTTATGGAATTGAAACTTTGTTATAAACAGAAGATTGACAATGGAGATTAGAGTACCAGTCTCAATAGAATGGGTTTAAAAGCCCAACAAAATTTCAGAAAAAAATTGAGTAGAAGAATGAGAAGCTAATCAAGAGGAAAATGCATAGTAACAGAACATGTAAACCAAAAATTAATGAGGCTTGAAGATCAACAATACTACTCTTAAACCAATAACTTCTTTATTGTGATATTGCCAAGCTTCAGCAGACTGCAAGCATCAGTCAGTAAAGAAACATGCAAGGCAACAATAAAATTAAAATTAGTTTACAGTAGCAAAAAGAATGAAGAGGTTTTTTTTACAAACATTTATATATAGAATCCCACCATAAAAAGTTAAAATAGCATCTTGTTTTAGTGTTTATCTGAAGCAGATTTTAAAATAATCTATATATGGCAAATGCCCAAGAAATCAGGATGTAGTTATAGAATTCATCGTAAGATTAAGGAAACAGTTTGAAAACATAGTGTGGGATTCTTGGGAAGACAAAGCGAATCCCAAGAGTGATGTGGAATGCAAAAATATTTTAAAGATAAAACTGGATTTGAAAAAAAGGAAGTGAAAAATAGAAATGTAAAATAGTTTAACTTATCTCCCAGTTATGACACCAACTATAATGACTCTTTCTAAACAAAATCATCTGTAGGATATAATAGTGGGGCTTTTTGGAATGTTATTATCTAAATACTGTATGTCCAAAAGTAATAAAAATATGCATTATTAATAAAAGGCAATATAACATCTACTTCTGGTAGAGTTCTGAGCTGTGATATATTCTTCTGAAAAGAATATTTTGTTTTAGGCAGGATGATAGAAGAGATTAGAAAGGATGTTGTTAATGTATTAGAATAAAATAAATAAAATAAATATGAGAAAAGTGACATTGAAATGGTATCAGTTTAAGTAACTGTCATTAGTCTATTCTTGCAGCAAAGTAGCAATAACTGAAGGACTCCATAGGGAAAGAAACTGGTCTTTCCATAGCATCTTACTGATTTTAAGCCATTTATTGTTAATAATTCCTAGAAAATCTAATCATAATAGACTGTATTCATAATACAATGGTACAAACCACAAATAGAAACCTAAATGCCTACACTAATTGAATGTTCTGTGTTCTGTGTGCGTGGCTTGGTGGGCATGGCATAGCTTTGTGGGCATGACAGGGGAAGGATACTGTAAAAATCTCAATTCACACCCCACTCCAAGGGAAGGTTACTACAAAATCCCCATTCTCTCCTGATCAGCTGGTACTCGGGAAGCAGAGAATAGATGGGGGCGGGGCCAGTCAGAGGTGGTATGTACCGATTTTCCGAAATACTCAAAATTTCCACTACCAGTTCTCCAGAAATGGTCAAAACCTGCTGAACACTACTTCTGGTGAGGGGGGTGGTACTTTCAAAATACTCATTAAATTATTTTTGCAAGGCTATAATAGTTATCATTTTTCTACATTTAGCACTGATTACTATATTGAAAACTACTTTAAAAATATAAGCAAAGCAATTGTACTGTCCGACATTGTCTTCTATAGTTTCTCTCCATTCTGACAACGAGCAGAACCAACCTGCTCCACATCCCATCCATTAAACAATGTTATCTGTTGGGACCTAGGAAATATGCTTTCTTTTTTGCAGCATCTGGTTTCTGGAACAACATCATCACAGAGATTGATTTGTCCCCACCATGACCTTGTTTAAGAGCTCTTTAAAACATGGTTCATTGCCTAGGTTTGGTGTTATAGTTAGCATTGGACCCCTTACAATTAAAGTGGTTCTTGTTAGATATTGTTGGAAGATTTTATCTCAGTGCCTCTTGCTCTTTTGTCTGTATATTTAATTGTTTTAATAGTGTATACCATCTAGCATCACATACCAGACAGCCTAAATAAACAAAGGGCTTGGGATAGTATTTAATGTATTTAATTTATCCTTTAGTCCTTTATTCTTATATCCTTTATTTTTAATAAAGGAGCCATGGTGGCACAGTCATTAGAATGCAGTACTGCAGGCTAACTCACTGCTCACTGCCAGCAGTTCAATCCTGACTGGCTCAAGGTTGACTCAGTCTTCCTACCTTCTGAGGTTGGTAAAATCAGGATCCAGATTGTTGTGGGCAATATGCTGACTCTGTAAACCGCTTAGAGAGGATTGTAAAGCACTATAAAGCAATATATAAGTCTAAGTGCTATTGTTATTTCAATAACTTGTCAGAATGATAAATATTTATTTAATTGTTTAATGAGTTCTGAGTAACTTTCCTTCTTATCATTGCCCTTACTGTATCAACCTTTGTCTATCAATTTTTCTATATATATAATCATACGATTGTCTATATAAATGGATGTTACATAAATCACTTGACCTGTATCTTTCAACTGGAAAAAGGTTAGACTAGCTAAAAGTCTTTTTTTTAATCCTGTGATACATAAAAGCAAAATTCTAGGCCATGAAGTTCAAGATCTTAAACTAGGTCTTCATTAAATTAAAAATACTCTTGTTACAAGATTGTTCTAAAATGCCTGGAGATTGCTGTCTGCAATAAAAGATAGGCAGCAGTTATTTTTAAGAATGATAGAGAAGAATCCATATAAATCTGGGCATTTCTGTATGCTTGTGTGAAAAATTAATAAGACTGCATTTTGTACTCTCCCTCCAAATCCATCATTTCCCATTTTCTTATTTCTTTTTCAATATGATTGGCCTATTGCTGATACAACTGTACAGTAAATATGAAATCCCTAGTTCTTTCTAGGCATTTTCCAATCACACAAAGTTTCTGAGCTAACAATTTCTATAACCATGAATGCTGACCAACTCTGGCATACTTGATGTTATTGTTTGAAACTGGAACATTTTGTAAACTCCTTACGTGTAGCACTTAGGAAACTACTAAAATGCTACAAAAATATCCAGCACTATACTATATTACTTCTACAAAACAAGATATTCTATTATTCCTTTAAGTATTGCTAGGATAGGAAGAATGTCCATTTATTTATTTATTTATTTATTTATTTATTTATTTATTTATTTATTAGTTATTTATTTATAGAATTGATATGCTACTCATCCTAACTTCAATTCTTGTAGTCCTTAACACAGTGATGGTTAACCTTTTGGGCGCAAAGTGCCCAAACTGGAAGGTTCATGTGTGCTCATGCCCGCATGCACCAGAGCACTGGAAACCTGATGACCAGCTGGCCGGTGCGCATGCACACCTCAGAAACCCAATGACCAGCTGGCTGAGCTGAGACAATGGTGTGCATGCCCACAGAGAGCGCTCTGTGTGCCACAGGTTCACCATCACTCCCTTAACAGCTACAGTTGTTATCATTTTCAAAAAGTGTATATATTTTACTTTAAAAAAGGGATGCATAAAACCCACTGACCCCAAAATGTAATAATCATAACCAAAAATTATATGAAGTTGTCTTTTTCCTCTCCGAAGCAATCACCCCATACTTTACCACATGGGTTTCCAACCTTTTGGCTTGCCTAGGCTACAAGAGGAATTTTATTGGGCCACATGTAACTATATATACTATAGTTAATGTACATAAATCACAGAATGTTAAAAGTTTATGATCTTGTGGGGCTGCATGTGCCCTGTGGGATGCACACACCCACTTTAGAAATTAAATTAAAAATAACGCAAAGATGTACAAGACTCCCTTGTTTAGAAACTTCTTAATACTACTTGTATAATACAAAAAAGACTTCACACAATAAAAGCCAAATCCCTCCCTCCTCCCCACCAATGGCACAATGTTAATTAAGAACAGGCACCTCAGTGTGAAAACCATGTTTTCAATTCCATACTTACCATGAGAGTTTCCGCAGCTTTCTTCATCGCTGTTGTCCTGGCAGTTATTTTGGTTGTCACACATAAAGCTTTTATCAATGCACAGGCCATTCCTACAGTGAAATCGGTCAGTAGAACACAGCAAAGGATTTGCTGCTGTGGAAACAAAAGCATATTTTATTCAAACTTGCAATATCGCTTTGATAGACATTATTCCCAAGAGCACTTCCATTCCATCTGTGCTTTAAATTTTTAACTGAGAGTCTTTTCTTTCCTCTGAACACTGTACTGAGCCCAGTTTAGAAGCAGATGAATTGTGAGAGGGACAGTTTAATTTGGCTCGTGTATTAGTGAATCAAAGATAGAAAATTTATAAAGGATTTATAAAGGATTTGGCCAATGAAATATTTTTCTGAAAAGACAGAAAGGTAATTTGACTGAAAGCAACCTCATACTTAACCCTAAATTTAAGTACAGCTTCTAGTGCTATTGTATTAGTGGAACTCTAAGCCAGAAAGAATAATAAACTTAAGAGCATAGCATAAATTCCTTGTTTTGACCTCTGGAAAGTGACACAGAAGTTAAGAAAACACTGAACAAAGTGCATACACAAATAAGGATGTGTAAGAGTATAAAAGGAGGAAGATGCTGAAGGCGCAGGTGCTATTTGACATTAACAGCACACCTCCTCCTTTCTTGCACATGATTCAAACAGAAATTATTTTACAAACCTTGATGTAGAAATGTGTCAGTGAGTTGAATGTGTAAATGATGTGCGATGCTAAATCTGTAACCTCTAGAAATGAATGTCTTAAGTTGTATTAGATTGTGATTTAGTAAAAGGAAAGGTACTTTTTGTCTCTAAAAATGATTTAAAAATAAATGCTATGGTTATAAGACTTCAGAAAGACGAATGCCTCCAAGGAAGAACTGTATGGTGATATGCTTCAAAAATCCAAGGCATGTTTGATAACTATTAAACCAAAGTCTTAGCTAAAACAGGCATATATAAATTGAATTTTAAATATAGAATAATCTCCTACTGAAGAATGGGAAATTATGCACTGATTTCAACCATATGTGGAGAACTACATATTATATTCTTCTGTACTACTTTAGGTCTGCTTTAAAACAGTCTAAAGGCTGAATTTCTACTAGCATTTTCTTTTGTATATAGGCACATATGCATTCATACAACTTTCTTCTAGGATGAGAGCATTTCAGCTGTTCAAGGGCTACAAAGATGTGGGTATGTGCATACCTTCAAGTCAGTCTTGACTCCTAGTGACAGCCTCAATAAGTCCCTCACTTTCTTGGCAAGATTTTGGGGGGGAAATTACTTGTCTCCTTTCTAGGTTGAGAAGGTATGATTGGCCCAAAGACAGCCAGTCTCTAGGCTCTCAATTTCTAGGCTGATATCTTAGCAACTACACCAAACTGCCCTTCCAGAAAGATATGTACAACAGTGGTGAACAGCCACTGTTCTCTTCTACTCGCTCTTGATCTCAACAAAGAGCCACTCTCCAAGCTGACAATAGTTATCTGTAGTAGGGATCCTAATTCTACATATGATTGCTTCCATATTGAATATAACCAATATTTTAAATGTTGTTCTGCAATGACTCTTTTTGTGACTAAACTATATCATTTGTTTGTCAAACAAACAGTAACAAGCAACATAAAGTGCCTCCTTTAACAGCCTTCAAATTTTCTACAGTTTTAGGATTGTTAAGAGATGCAGCCTGATTCTAAAGCAAGACATCTTGGTCTTATAGAAGCATTCAGAGATTGACTTTGACTCATAGAAAAGTATATCACATTTTTTTAATATGGAAAGAAATGAGATGGAAAATTGTTTTCTGTTGTTATCCTCTCTGTCATTATTATATGTCAAATGCATCAAATTATTTCAAGTTTCAGGAGAATTGAATTTTCCATCATACAATTATTGTACTTAGGAAACTGACACTTCATGCAGACACCATCAGACAAAAACTCAGTGGTGCTATTTAACCGGCTCTATTTGGTTCAGGTGAACCAGTAATGGTGGCGGCGGGAGGCTCCGCCCATCCACCTAGAAGTCATCATGTCCCATTTTTGATGCTCTGCGCATGCGTGGAAGGTTCTGTGCTAACATTTGTGAACCGGTAGCAAAGGTAAGTTGATTTCACCCCTGAAAAATCTGTTTTACTACTCAATTTGTTTTTGGGGAGGCAAAACATCCACTTACAGTAATTTTTATTGTTACCTATATTCTAGTATTGCAAGTACAATAAAACTTCAATGTAGTAGGAAGAGGTCTGAAGATTTGTCAAACCCCAGGTTTCTGTCTTCCTCACCATTTCTTTCCTTTCTCTTCTGGGAACTTCTGTCATGAGCAGTTCCAACTTAGAGGACTTTGAGGAGTCCATTCTGGATTACCCCGAAGGAGCTCAAGAGAATTAAAGCACCTGAGTTTGATTCACCTGGAAGGTTTCAGAAACAACTGTGCCTATTGTCAGAAGACACCTAGTTTTAAAGCATGCCACATGTAATGAGAACAAATTAATGGTATTTGGCATGTCTCTTTGCACTCCTAGTTTTGCTTAGTTTCACCAACATGGGATGTATTTAAGATCCACTGATAGTCTGATTTCCCTCATTGGCGGGAATTGCTCACCCATCCTAAAATCTTGATATTTGTGTTCCTGAAACTGTCACCTTGAATCTGGGCAAACTGATGACAGAGTATTGTGGACCATGGCCTAACTATGATTCCACACTTGATACTCACTTTGGTGTGGAAACTGTTTACAGGTAAACTTCCATGTGATTGTCACTGCTGGGCAGGTGGATTACAAATAAAATAATGCAATGAAATGAAATGGTAGAATGATATATGTAAGGAACTATTATTGAGGATAGCAAAGTGTTTCAAATTCCAGAGGATTTAAACTCAGATTGCCAATTATGCTGTCAGGACATTTGCTCTGTATTCAAAAGGGCCTGCTTTAATCCTACTGGAAACATTTTAAGATTGAAATAACTTTCCTTGCTCCTTTTTCTGTTCATTTTACAGAAACAGGCACAGTATTGTTAGTCTTCTATAGTTATCAGGTTACACAGATCACTTTTACATCAGATCAAATTTACATCATCCTATTCTTCTTCTCTCTTATAAACCTAACTCATAAACTCATCAAGCTTTACTCAGCAGCATACAAAGTTCACCATATACTGATTGTCAGTTAAGCAGGTGTGACTCATGCCAAACGATTACATTGCTGTCTCTAGTTGTCAGTTTTGTACCTGATATTGCTCAACTTAATTTTATTTTTTCTTAGATAGTATATTATCTCACTATATTTTACTCATCTCCTGAATTTTAACTAATAATTAATTTTAGTTAACTTATGGTTTTTCTTAGTTATTAATTTTATGACAGCTTTATAACTTTTACCTTACCACTTCAACTTATGGTTTTTCTTAGTTATTAATTTTATGACAGCTTTATAACTTTTACCTTACCACTTCAATTCAGTAATCACTGTCCTTACAAATTGTAAGCAAATGAACTTCAATGTTGTCATTACTGGTTCCACAAAGTCTTGGTTTTTAATTAATTGTATTTGTTAACCATACAGCATTTACCAGTGACAGCATAAAAATAAACCAGATATACAAGTAATAATAATGTTGCACCAAAAATATAGATGTATGGAAAACGTTCATGAATCAAAGCAACTGAAGCTAAAAGTTATTGGAAAAAGGTTTTAGGAATACAAATGAAGGAAAGATGTTTTCTGACCCTTCAAAAATATATTCTATAATATGGGGGCTGCTATAGTAATATTGCTGATACAAGACAGAACAATGAACATATTATATTATATTGTATTGTTTAGTTCAAAATGAGGACACTTTGAACTCAGAACACTACCAGAATGGTCAGAACACTCTTACCATATTTAGAACAACCGTCTTGAAGTTGAAATGACTTATGAAATGTTTCACACATCCACTAAAAATTACTGCAGGTCTTGGTTCCTCTTGTTAACTTACCAAAAAAGGATCTCATCTATCAAATGTTCTTTTAAAATAGCAACTCTGCGCTCTCTTCTAGCAAGAGATTGTATCCCCAAAATATTAAATGCGACTAAATCACAGTCAAACCCTCTGCCTTTTTTCCCCTTGCAGCTGCAACGCACAATTATTTAGGTCACAGCATTATGAGATCTATTCAACCACCTGCAAAAAAAAAAATAACTTTTATAGCTAGCTGCAGGAAAGAACATAGCGCTGGAAGTTTTTCTTTTGTAACTTCCTCCTTATCAGAAAATGAGAGAAGGCGATAGCTAAAAAATTCATGATAGTATGCTAACCTCAGCTTAACAATTCATCGGAACTGGAGAGCTAACAGCTGGAAGCCTTGTTTTCTGTATCAGTTCCCCATTACATAACAGGTGTTTCATGTTTACATCAGTTTTCCTAATTCTGGTTACCATGTTTATTACATACAGAGCTTCCACAAAAGAGATTTCATACTTTTCTTGGAATTTACCAATAGCAATAGCACTTAGGTTTATATACTGCTTCATAGTGCTTTTACAGCCCTCTCTAAGTGGTTTACAGAGTCAGCAAATTGCCCCCAACAATCTGGGTCCTCGTTTTAACCACCTCAGAAGTATGGAAGGTTGAGTCAACCTTGAGCCTGGTGAGATACAATCTACCAAACTGCAGTTAGCAGTCAGCTGAAGTTGCCTGCAATACTCCACTTTAATTACTGCGCCACCTTGGCTCACTAACATTTAGATGCAAATGTTGTGTAAAATGGTTTTCATTTTGCTGGATTCCTCCTAGAGTAGTATAGTAGATGACAAGCTGGACTTGGATAGGGAAGAGGGAGATAAGATTCAAATCTTTTCTTCAAGTTTACTGGGTTCCCAGCCCAATTTACCTAACAGGACTATTTCTGTGGGATAAAAATAGGAGAACTCCTCTCCCTTCAACCCTACTGACATCACAAAAGATGGAATGTAAGTGAAATTAATCAAGCAAGTCTTCCAATGGATAGTTTTCAATATTTATCAAGTTTTGTGCAATATTTCTTGTAGATATACCTTTTAGGCAATGGTACAAATGATGCAACTTGCTCATTTAAGTAATAGATACTTACTACAATTTTCTTCATCACTACCATCAGGACAATCCTCAAAACCATTGCATCGAAAACGGCCAATGATACAATGAATTCCACTGGAACATGGGAAGAAGGTGGACCCACATTTAGATCTTGCTTTTGCTGGGGAAGAAGAAATGAAATTTTTATGATTATAAAACAAAGCTGTCAAAAATAGTCACAAACATCTCAGATTTGTCTACTTGACAAAGCTCAATAGAAATGTTTTACAACCTGGCCAAGAGTTTGATGTAATCTTTATTTCTGCTTGGTTGACCGGTGATGTAGTTCTGAAAACAATTGTCATTGTGGAGTCTTTGGTGCTCTCTGAACTTGGTTGTTTGCTTGCAGACATTTCATTACCCAATTAAATATCATCATCAGTGCAAGTGAGTGTGGGACTTGCTCCCCATTGATATTCAGTAGCTTGGTCTGGTGGTGTTGGTCAAGTAGTTCCTTGATTAGGATATTGATTTCTGCCTGTTTTTTGTCTGCTGCTTGTTAGACATGTGTCCTGGTCTTTTTGTTTTCTTCTTAATATTTCTGTTGTCTCTTGAAAGGGTGTACATATGGTTTATCTTTATGTACTTATTGATGGCTGATTTATTAACCAATTATCAGCTGATAGTTGATTAGATTGTTGGCAACTGAATGCCAAGTTTATAGGAAGTTCCTAAAATTTTTGAATTTAGTTTGATTTAGAATGCTCACAGTGTCTAGTTATCCCATACTCAATAGCATTGATGATGTTACTTAATTGGGTAATGAAACATCTGCAAGCAAGCAACTGTAAGAATGTTGTATCTTATTATTTAAGACCTTACAAAATTTTCAGTTCATAGAAATTAAGCATTCATGCATTACTAGCATTAATATATGAACTAGTTATTAGCAGGCCATACGCATTCTGATATCCATACTTGGTACTGTTTTCTAGAGGTATGAGGAGAAGCCAACCTTTTTGTGAATTACACAGCTAAAAGAAGATCCTCTGGCAATTGTGTAGGAATCTTTGCCTGCTCTATACCTCAAGAAAAACTGGATCTTTGTAACTTTATGCCCAAGTCAGGGGAGAAAAAACCTCTGGCCATTCAAATTTCCAATGCCTGCCTTTCTGTCATATGGGAAATTGTGTGTGAGAGAGAGGGGGGATGAAGGGAGGGAGAGAATGTTTAATAAATCCCATTTCTATATAGCCATAAACACACTTAAATTTTGTTCATTTTGCTTTTGCATGCAAAACAACAATATTTACAATTCTTCATTGCAACATTCATTTTCTATGATATTTTTAGACTTCTGATTAACAGTAGTAACTCAAAGATAAAATTTGCACAGACCAATTCACAAATCAAGGCACATTAATGAATCACTATAAACAATGTATCTTTCCTGAAATATGAATTCTCTAAAAAAACAATATGCTAATATTTTATTGCTTGTTATCATTCCATGGTGTTTCAAACTCATATATTTCTCTAAGCTTCTGAACTGAGATTTATTTTGCAGAGCTTTTAGTTTCTTTGACTGGGTCTTTTTAGCATAAACTCACTATTAGATATTAATCTACTTAGATAAGTTGGATGTAATTGAAAAATTGAGATTTCCATTGTAAGTACACAAAGGTTAGAAATTGGTTATGCACATATTTAAACTCTCCAAAGCCATAATCAGAGAGCCAATTTGCAGCTATGGCACTGAATACTGCAAAAGATCCAGAGTGTAGTACACTGGTAAATGGTTTTCTCATGCCAATGATGCCCAAGGTAATGAATATTTTAGGAGTGACTCCATTTCATACACCAATACCTCCATTTAACCCATCCCTATGGGATTCTATAAAGTTAATGACAGTGATTTTATAATTTTATGAGCCCTCAGAACTTAACATCCAGTATCAAACCATCACTTTGCAATGCTAAACTCACTCATGGTATTATAATTTTAAATATGATCATGTCCTCAGATAAGAGGTTTTAGGATAGAATTGTACTGAAGATTTTAAATTCCTTATCTGTCCAAACACTCATCCATTCAAATTTGTATTTATTGGGCATGGCCTTTGCCCAGCACTCTATTCAATGATAATGACACTTGTATATTTTTATATACAAGTGACATTATGTACACAAGTGAAGCTGAAAATTTTCTTTAGGTTAGGGGGGAGGCTAAGTATTTTTTTGCTAAATCAAGTTTAGGGTACACAGTGGTTTTATCTGTTTTGGCATTCACGATAGTTTTAGCAGAGCCAGGGAGAATTTAGTAATCATAAAAGATTACCAAATAACAAAAGTTGTTCTGCTCTGCAAAATAATACTGAATTGTATATGAACAAGTAGTTCATTATATAAAAGATGTTATAAAGCAGAAACCAGAGCAACTTTTAGATTATGACAACAAAATGAAGAAACTAAAATCCAAAACCAAAAATAAGTAGTACAATTCCTTTATAGAAAACACTTACTATACATGCATTAGCTGAGGCTTAGAGCATCAAACAAATATCAAGTAAGTGCCACTAAATATTAAGGAATGTATCAAAATTTAGGGAAGAGGGTTCCAAGGATATTTATTTATTTATTTATTTATTTATTTATTATTAAAATTTATATGCCGCCCAATCCTGAAGGACTCCGGGCGGCTTACAAAGAAGGAAGAGAAGAAAAAAAATAAAAGATAGTTTAAAACACAACACATGCATTCGTTATAATCGGGGCTGGACCTCAACAATGAGGTCAACAGCCCCAGGCCTGCCGGAACAGCCAGGTTTTAACAGCTTTTCTGAAGGCCATGAGAGTGGGTGAGGTCTGGATCTCTGGGGGTAGCTGATTCCAAAGGGCCGGAGCAGCCACAGAGAAGGCTCTCCTCTGGGGACCCGCCAGCCGACACTGTCTGGCTGACGGCATCTGAGGGAGGCCCAATCTGTGGGATCTTACCGGCCGCTGGGAGGTATGTGGCAGTAGGCGGTCTCGCAGGTATGCTGGCCCTAAGCCATGTAGAGCTTTAAAGGTAATAACCAACACCTTGAATTGCAACCAGAGACCAATTGGTAGCCAGTGCAGCTCGCGGAGGATAGGTGTAACGTGGGTGTACTTCGGTACACCCAATATCACTCACACAGCCGCATTCTGGACTAGCTGCCGTCTCCGAACGCTTTTCAAGGGTAGCCCCATGTAGAGCGTGTTGCAATAATAGCTTTAAAGAGACAGAAAATAAGCTATCAACATGGTACTACTGTGTTTCCCTGGCCTTATTTTCAGGGAGGTCTTTTTATTTTTGAGGTGCAGGAGGCAGCAAGCGTGGTCACCTCATAGCTGCTGCTGTGTTGCAATATTTTGAGGAGGGCTTATTTTTGGGGAAGGGCTTATTTTCAGGTGAGGGCTTAGCCGAGGTGGTGCAGTAGTTAGGGTGCAGTACTGCAGGCCACTTCAGCTGACTGTTATCTGCAGTTCAGCGGTTCTAATCTCACCGGCTCAAGGTTGACTCAGCCTTCCATCCTTCCGAGGTGGGTAAAATGAGGACCCAGACTTTGGGGGTGATATGCTGACTCTGTAAACCGCTTATAAAGGGCTGAAAGCCCTATGAAACGGTATATATGTCTAACTGCTATTGCTATTGCCATTTTAGCCCATGCACTCAACAGTCCAATTGGGCTTATTATCGGGAGAGGTCTTATTTTTGTGGAAACAGAGTAGTAGTGAAAAATCCTTAAAGAAAACACATTTAAAAGCTTCTTCCAAATGATAAGAAAATAGAATTATGAATAAGAACATGTCTGTTACATTGAGCTTTGCTGCAGTCTTACTGTGTATGTATTTGTGTTTGTGTATGTGTGTTTCTAGACATTGACTCTTAGTGTAAGCAGGGTTTTAAACAAATCATTGTTGCAAAAGCCGACAAACCTTCCAAGGCTCTATTCATACATTATCCCTCTTCTTAATAGGTTCATTTCTCAACTATGGAATTCAAACATAAATTTCTCCTAGGAGCTATCCATCCTATTTTCCAGAAACAACTAAAGTACATATGCAAAGCAATATTGGGAAGAGAAAGTTTATTTTTATTAGATTATTATAAATCTCAGGAGCAATAAATATATTTGCTGCTTGCTTCAGAAAAAGGAAGCAGGATTTCACACTTCATGGGATAAATTATTTATACATGAGTAAGTTTGTAAGAAGAAAGTAAGGGATAAAGGTGTAGAGACAGGAACCATAAGTTTTTACACTAGGATAAATCTTTATGTTAAAAATGTCTGAGTTGAACCCTTTTGCCCTTATTTATTTCTGTGGTTGGATATTCTATATTTTTATCTTTAATAGGAAAACTAATTTTAAAATGTCATCGTGAGTATTCTGTTGAGTCAACCAATTCCTAAATAAGGCATCAGTATTTTCAATGTCAACATGTTCAACCAATATCTGTAGAAGACTGACAAGGAAATTGTTAGAATGTTCCCATTTTCCAATGGATGGTCTAGTAAAGTAACAAATAATAAATTACTAAAGTGATTGACTAAAGCAATGTATCAGTATTCTCCATATTCTCTGTATCAGTTATAGTGTTCTCATTCAACTCAATTCAACATTAACATGACATCATCAGATGGTTTCGAAATATTTTTTTTTAAAGTTCTTGGTAGACCATCAAATCCAATAATGTTCTAAGGCGGCATTCCCCTATATGAACCCCTACAGCCTTGAACTTCAGAATCTATACCTCAAATACCGTATCTAGAGGTTGGAGAAAAGTTGCTTTGGTAGGCATTTTGGATTGGAATCATCATCAGTCACAGCCAACACAGGAAGTCATTGTGGGTTTATAATTGTAAACATCTTGAAGGCCTAAGGCTGTCTGTATTTGCCTAAGGATTCAGATACATGACAGCTATACTTATATGACTAGTACATTTATGTCTATGCACTAGCAGATTTATAACACAAGGCCAGAAACCATTAGGAGAAAGGAACAATAAAAGCATTTCAGGGGTGGGCTGCTGCTGGTTTGCTTCACGTGCGCTTCGCCAGATGGGTGGTGCGCATGTGTACACAGTTACCTGTGAATTGTTCTGCGCATGCGCAGAACATGAAAAAATGACTGAAAAACAAGCCGGCAATGGTAGC